ATACAACCAAATTGTAGAGACACACTTCTCTCCTTTATTGTTACGTATTTGTTGTTGAAGTTTAGTAAGGCACACTCCTTACTGTTGTATCGGACACACTTCTGATACAACCAAATTGTAGAGACACACTTCTCTCCTTTATTGTTACGTATTTGTTGTTGAAGTTTAGTAAGGCACACTCCTTACTGTTGTATCAGACACGCTTCTGATACAACCAAATTGTAGAGACACACTTCTCTCCTTTACTGTTACGTATTTATTGTTGAAGTTTAGTAAGGCACACTCCTTACTGTTGTATCGGACACACTTCTGATACAACTAAATTGTTGAGACACACTTCTCTCCTTTTCTGTTATTGATATTGGGACATACTTCCCGATCGTTTGATACTAGTGAGTGTAGATTGACATAAGTTAGGAACGCCCACGTTCTCGCCACGTAAGACCACTTTTAGTATAATACCTCGTTTACAACACGTTTCTGTGTCTCCGCCCAGGATATCAGTAATTTTCTCCAACACTGTCTCGCCGTCTCCGACACTTTCTCTCCGTCTAGGATATCAGCTATTTTCTCCGACACTTTCTCTCCGTTTAGGATATCAGCAGTTGTCCCCACCTCTTGGTCTCCATATCTATCCCCCTTTTATGCTTCCATGTGACCTCCAATTCATGTGTTCTCGAATCCTGTTTCTGGTCTCTGCTTTCATGCAACCCCCAATCCATGTGTCCTCGACTCTGGTTACAGATATATTGTCTTTCAATTTCTTTCTTTTTTAGCTTGCATGTACTTCTACTTTACCACGGTTGGTTTCTTTATCTGTCTTTCTTTTCCAATTAGCTCAATCTGTAAGTTTTCTTTCCCCTTTAGTTCTCTTTTTCTTCTTTTTTCGTCCATCCTTTCTAAGATATCTATTCTCCGTTGTAGTCTGCCTTCTGTTATCGTCCTTGAATCTTCTAGCATCTTTATTTTTTCTCTAAAACACTAATCATTTCCGCTCTTAAATTGTCTCTCCTTTTCCGTACTTTTTCTAGTTCGGCATACATCCCCGTCCAATTCTCCTTCTTTTCACTTTTATCCACCTCTACGGCTTCCATGTACAGTCTAAAACGAAACCATTTCTCGTGCCCTATTTCACTCTCGTCTTCATATTTTAATTTTTTCGCCTTTCTTGTCATTGACTCTTCTTCATCCGCACTACTGATCTCTGTACTACTATCTGAGTCGTATCCTGTGCTACTTTCTGTATCAGTTTCCTCTTCTCTTCGTTGATGAATGTATGGTCTTTCCTTCAAGTTCTCATCTTCCTTTTTGTATTTTTTATTTCCTCCGTACCATTCGTCTCTAAGTCACTCTCTGAATCAGTGCTTGAATTTGGTTCGCACCCTTCCACTCCCATTACCATCTGTCTTTCTCTTTTCCCCACTTTACACTTTACCGTTTACATTCTGAGCTATAGACCTCCAATCGATATGTCCTCCAATCTTGTTTCCTATCTATGCTTTCATGTATCCTTGTGTCTTCTTATAATGTCTCAATGTGTCTCCTTTCAATGTCTTCTTTCAGTGTCTTTCAATGTCTCCCCATATCTCTAGTATTTCCACCGCAATATCTCCAAGATTATCCATATATCTTCTTCCAATATGTCTGCGTGTCTCCTTCCAATTTCTCAAGGTGTCTCCCTTAAATCTCTCCGTATCTATACTTCCAATTTCTTTACGTGTCTCCCTCCGATGTCTCCTCGTTTCTCCCAACAAAGTCTTCTAATATCTCCTCGTATCTCCTTCAAATGTTTCTCCTTCGATATTTACCCTGGAATGATATTTAATGCTCTGTCACCACTCACCACATTCTACACGTTATTTCATCACTCACCATGTTTAAATAATGTTTCCACTATTTACCACTTGTATATTTTCCACCACAATGTTTCCAATATCATCCATATCTCTCCTTACTATGTCTCCATGTGTCTCCTTCCACGTGTTTCACTCCACGTGTCTCCTTGTTTCTCCTACCAATGTCTCCTTCCAATGTCTCCTTATATCTCCTTCAAATGCTTCTAATGCCTCCTTCCATGTTCCCTCCAATGATACATGCGTTCTTTCCAGTCTCTCTCCAATTTATCTCCAATACGTCCACCCATACTTCCTCCAACCAGTCTCCAACCCATCCCTCCAGATGTCCTCCAATCATATTTCTCATTCCAATATGACCCCCCACCACATTCTAATAATATTTCCACTAGTTACCACTAGTACTGCCACTGCACTCCTAATGCACCTATGCCTTTCCCTCCAACATCACTCCTCACCACGTTCCAACAGCTGGTTCCAATAATAATTCTGCTATTTATCTCCACCACCATATTCAAATAATAATACCTCTAGTCACCACTAGTATCGCCCCCACCATGTCTCCAATAATAATTCCTCTAGTCACCACTAGTATCGCCCCCACCATGTCTCCAATAATAATTCCTTTAGTCACCTCTATTATCGCCACCACCATGTCTCCAATAATAATTCCAATAATAATTCCACTATTATCACCTCTCGCCACGTTTCACTAGCATTTCCACTAGTAAAGTAGTAACTACCACTATTAATGCCACCACCATGTTTACAGATGGATTTATATGTAAAACAAGCAAACGTGCAAACAACCGCTACCTCGTTTAATAGAGGAAACTGAATACTTTATAAAACTCGCAAACTATAACTGAACATTTAACAATAGCCACTCTATAGGGAATTAATACCATGGCTCAGCTCCAGATGTTCTTATTATAGTAAACACACCGCTCAGACGTAACATAGTATGACAGTTCAACTAATATGATTGTTTCCAGTGGACACCAACATATCCACAGCTTTCTATCTCGCCCTAACTCCATACTATACAAAATTTACACTCACTTAATACAATACTCACCTGTCCGTTCCATTTCTCAGCCCCGTATTTCTCGGCTTTTACTCTAATTGACAAACCAGTGTCTCACACAGTCACTCCATGACTTAATTTCCAAAATCACAGTGTTTCACACAGTCACTCCATGACTTAATATTCAAAATTGCCGTGTCTCACACAGTCACCTGATGACTTAATTTCCAAAATCGCCGTCGGATCATCTTTTTCATATATTCGGCCTGTCAATTCATCACACTCTTCACAGAAAAGTAGTCCTAGTTTCTTTCATCATAGAAAATACCATTCCCCTCAAAATTTAAATCTCACTCAAAACGTACCACGTTTTCAAACTTATACACAGCTTTAATTCGATACAAGTGACGTCACATCTCTCTGAATAACCTCCCTCTCCCTTTCCAGTGCTAGCAGCACCCGGGTCTCATTTATATAAATTACATCTCTCCCCCAATCCTTGAAATGTTGGTCGCAATTTCGCCAGCCCACTCCAAACTCCCCCTCTCGCTCTCTTCCATAATATAAAATATGTAGCGCTACAAAAAGAAAACAAGTCTGACACACAACAGAACGATTCAGCAGGCAGCCACTCCCACTGAGGCTCTGGTGGCTGAAAGTATGTCAAGTCTGCCGTCTTAAAACTTAAAATAAGAAACAGTAAACCATGAACTCCTCACGTACCCCCTCGATAATAATTATAACATTCTCTCGATACAATCTCTCAACGGACTGATATTTATTCCTCAAAATATCCCCTCTGCTCCTCCTAACCTATGCCCCTCCGGTACCTAACCTTCCTTCCCTTACATGATGAAAGAAACCCAAAAATTGCATTTAAACTCCACACTTAACCGTGTCTTCATTTACTGCTCTTGCACTGAACTAATCGATGACCCTAATCTGACTGGCAACACTGTTACAACATAACGTAACTCTACTCCTCACACCGGTCAATTCACATTCGAATGATAAGCAATCTCTCCCTTACCTCAATTAAAATACAAATAATCTATCCTATAATAAAGTAGGATCCTACCGTTCGCGCCATTGTAAGCAGTCACCATCTGCTCCAGATTCGTAGATTATTTGTATCAATTTAAGGTACGAACAACGAAAACAAGAGTAATAACGATGGTTACAAGATATTAAACTATAAAACAATACAATGAATAATTCGACAAACTCCTGCTTTAACTCCTAGTTCACCAGACTTATATTGCCCAAAATCGCCCACCGATCTAATGATCTTATCCTACCATAACATATCACATCATGAAATACAATCACTATACACATACTATAGCCAGACATACTATTATATATAAAGTCGGCCGTCAATACTTGTCTATATTCACGCTGAAACTCCTAGCTTAAATCCGCCATGACCCATGCCATTATGTCTACTATCAATCCCTCTCTAGGCCAACCAGAACTCAACCAGAGTTACAGGTTCCGACCACCAACTATCCTTCGATAGGACAAACCACCAACTCTCTCTCCCAGTTCAGGCTCCCTTACAGTCCGGCATCAATGACGCTCTATCGAATCGGGAAAACTCCATCTCCTTCTCGACCGTCCGTCCGACCTTATATATTCCTCTACCAGCCCTGTATGTGCCGCACCAAAATACGGCCCGCCTATGCTGTATGCTCCGAAAACTCATTATTCTCTATTAACTGCATTCTAATCTATAGCACGCACTGTCTTGTCAACAAGTCGGCCTGATTTTCTCGTGCTCTCTGTTGCTTATTCAACCAACATCGAACTACAGGCCGTCTAATTTTATCTATGATTATCATTAATTCCCTACCAGTATTTTCAGCCACTACCCACATCACTCCCGTCGTGTTCTTGCCATAAGCCTCTACATGCTCGTTGCACAATGATTATTTCGGCCGCTACTAATGATAACTCCGCATTCTCTTGAGTAATCGGTTAATATTATAAATCTATATAATTTAACTTAATAATGATACTTCCAGAAAAATTGACTCAGAATATTCACTGCGTACAATTTTACTTAACGATCTGTTATATAAATATATATAAATATATATATTATAATAATAATATTACAGAAGGACAGAAACAAGTCAAATATATTTGGGGAAGAGAATGAAGAAGAGGAGTTTACAAGAGCCAGACTTCCTTCGGTAGCTCAGGTTTTCAGAGAGAGGGGGGGGGGGGGGGGGGGGGGCCCTTATTTACCTGAAAAGAAATAAAAACGTTGCCCTAATTATTGCGGTCGTTTTGTTATCTCTAGCAACACCAGCTTTAATTTGAGGCATTGGTAACTGGTGATTTTCTACTGCTCTGTTATTCACTAGTATAGTAGTAGTATATTGATTATTGATATATTGTTTTTGTGAAACTAGTTTTTCAATAACTTTTACAGTTACACAAACTCTCCATCACCTTTATTAACTTTTCTACATCTACAGCTGGAGCGGAACAAATCAGTGTTACCATAGTAACACTACTAGTTACCATAGTTACACTACTAGTTACCATAGTTACACTACTAGTTACCATAGTTACACTTCTAGTTACCATAGTAATTTTACGTTATTAACTGTTTTACACCTACAGCTGGAGCGGAACAAGTCAGTGGTATTCGAAGATGAAGATCACAAGACGGGTCGTCCCTCAACCAAACAACAAGTTGGACCACCAGCAAGACAGAGCAGCATGGAGCCGTCCAACTTCTACGACACAAACTACAGACCCTCCACCAAGATACAAAACCCTCCCGGCGGTCGGTCCAGCGTTACTTTCGGTTAATGTTGTGACGCACAAACTTTCACTTTCGGTTAACGTTGCGAGGGAGAAACTTTTACTTTCGTTTAACGTTGCGAGGGAGAAACTTTCACTTTCGGTTAACGTTGCGAGGGAGAAACCTTCACTTTCACTTTCGGTAACTGATTACATAGTAGAGCTTACTTCACATTCTTCTCTCTTGTCATTATAGTGGCGGTGTCTCTATGGTAACTAGTAGTGGCGGTGTCTCTAGAATAGGAGACATCTCAGAGGATCCCGTCCATGAAATCGGAGACTAAATCAGAATACCTGCCTATTGACATTTAATTAAGTTGGCCATTACAATTATCTTATGATAGCGGTAATTCTGGCAGTCTTAAGTTTTTAGTTTAGCGAGTGATAAAAACCTACACTGTATACACTCCATCTCTTAAATCATTTAGCACCAAGGATCAGGACACGTTGCAGCTAATCGTTAATGTAATGACTGATTTTGTTTGATCGAATCAAAGTTAATCCTACCATCAAACGCAAACGGTTGTGAGATTATGGTAACTAGTAGTGTTACTATGGTAACGGTTGTGAAATTTGAATGCTATTGACATTGTCCATATCAAACTTTTCCGGTTATTACAGTAGTAAAGTGTTTATTTTAATTTGAAGTATAATCTTTGTTAAGATTCTTATAGTAATTATACTTTAAGCGCTGTATCAGTATGTTTAGCTATCTTTTAAAGAGACTAACAATGTTTAGTTAGACATCATGATCGTAGTTTTTATTGAATCAAAAATCCGATAATTTAACAATTATGAAACTCATTAAAACTAAAAGTTATTAACATTCGGTATTAAAAAGTTTACGGTAATCAACATTCAACAATTATTCTAAATGAATTTAACAATATGACCCGCTTTAGCGTGGGAGAAACACAGAAAGTGAAACAGAAAGTGAAACAGAAAGTGAAACTATAAAAACGATAGTACAGCTAGTTTATTACTCACTGTTACAATATTAAGCTATACATGATTAATATATCAATAACTAAACCAGCACCAGGATTTTGTGATATCATTCGGGTTTTCATCTCTTTATTAAATACATATAAAAACTAAAATGCCGTTGCAAAGCATACTGCATTCTTTGTATTTCTACTATAATATATAATAAATATATATCAATTGATTCAAACTAAAATTTTAATTCGTCCCATGCATTGCTTCAAAACTAACAGTAAAAGCCAAAGTGAACATAAAATCGAAATGTTCCTCAATATGTATCTCACGACCTTTCCCCCATAGCTACCATCAGTAACTACCTATACCATAGCTACCACCTGTAACTACCATAGCTACCACCTGTAACTACCATAGCTACCATCACCTGTAGCTACCATAGCTACCACCTGTAGCTACCATAGCTACCATCACCTGTAGCTACCATAGCTACCACCTGTAGCTACCATAGCTACCACCTGTAACTACCATAGCTACCACCTGTAGCTACCATAGCTACCACCTGTAGCTACCATAGCTACCACCTGTAGCTACCATAGCTACATACCGTTTTTGCGACCAAGCATTCTGTTACAGGATGGACAGCTATGAATAGCGTCTTTACAGCCGTCAACTAAGAAGGGGATAAAACAGCAAATAGCGGTGAAGAAAAACAGAACCAAGCAGATAACCCAGGTCATTGTTCCATTCTCGTAAGTAACACTGGTCAGTATCTGAGAGTGGCAGTTAGGGCATGTCATGTTCATGGGGTTGTTGCTGAAGCGGACTGAGTGGGACCCAGCGTTTACCACAACTACAGTTGGAGGTTGGGGTTGCGGTGGATATCCTGCTGGTGGGTACTGGGCGGGCGGAGGTCCTGCTGGCGGGTACTGGGCGGGCGGAGGTCCTGCTGGCGGGTACTGGGCGGGCGGAGGTCCTGCTGGCGGGTACTGGGCGGGCGGAGGTCCTGCTGGCGGGTACTGGGCGGGCGGAGGTCCTGCTGGCGGGTACTGGGGTGGAGGGGGATCTTGTCCGATCGGTGGATAACCGGGTTGACTGTATGCTGGTGCTTGAGTAGCCATGTTTATAGTAAAAACAACTGTGTTTGATCTGCTAACGAAACTGGGAACGGAATACTGGCAATGGAGGGACTGAGACCCAGGTGATGGTAACTAGTAGTGTAACTATGGTAACACGTGAATGTAGGCTAGAACTACCGCGCCAAATTAGAACGGTAACACGATATGTTGTAGGGATTGTAATGTTGCTGTTGCTAGGGCCAGGGGGCCAGGTGCTAGTCGTATATTTTACAGATAGAGGAGTGAGGTTGCTGTATACTATTGAGTGTTTAGGCGTTAGTTAACACAAATGTGAGTGGGAGATTAAGATCGGGAGCAGGTGAGCAGTAGATTTTGGACTCCGCAAGATCTCCGCAAGATCTCCACAAGATCTACACAAGATCTCCACAAGATCTCCACAAGATCTCCACAAGATCTCCACAAGATCTTCACAAGATCCCGAAAAAGATCTCCACAAGATTTTCACAAGATCTCCACAAGATCTTAACAAGATCTCCACAAGATCTCCACAAGATCCCCACAAGATCCCCACAAGATCTCCACAAGATCTCCACAAGATCTCCTCAAGATCTCCACAAGATCTCCACAAGATCTCCACAAGATCTCCACAAGATCTCCACAAGATCTCCTCAAGATCTCCACAAGATCTCCACAAGATCTCCACAAGATCAAGAGACAAATCTCAAAGTAATATTAGGAGGTCAGATTACTCAGATTGTCATCTCAAAAGATTTAGATCAGAATCATGGTAATTACAACTTATGTCATTTCGGGACATTCTATGACTCGCTGATTAGAGGCGAGACTGTGGACGGCTACAGGGATTGAATGAGGTGTCGCGTGAGTTATGCGGTGGTGTCGCGTGAGGTGTCGCGTGAGTTATGCGGTGGTGTCGCGTGAGGTGTCGCGTGAGTTACGCGCTGTGATTGGTTTGTACTCATCACTCATGTTAGGTGGCGTCTGCTACTTTAAAAAAAATCAATAAACTTACAAATACATCATTTTATTTCAAAGAAAATATCGCCGAATAACTTTACATGCCTTGACAAGTGACCGAGTGTAAACAAAAATTAGGGACACCGAAACACCAGTTGACCAGTAAACTGGTCATAGCAATTACATCGGGCCCTATGAAAGTTCAGAACTTCTAAATGGTGTAAATTCGATTAGGACGATTGGTGACGTCTAATAATTGCTTCGTATAATGTAAACTACTTATGAAGGAGCAAAGTAGGACTGTAAACTACAGTCTAAACAATTATTTTCAAGACCTGTGGTCGTGAATGGCTGTATCTTTTATAGGTACGAATCTACAGATACCTGAAGAATACCCTGCGATCGACCGGCAGAAATAAAACAGGAGTTCCAGAAAACCCACTTCCTGATACACCTGCAACTTGAAAATTGTTTACAATCGATCTGATCAACGTCTAGACGCTCTGCAAAACTTCAGATCTCTAACCTAATGTTAACATGGTTTTAAGCACCTGCAGCTGAATATGATAAAAAATCTCCACAGAATTGGTCGATCACATAATCATATTACGCAATCACTATTTGGAAAATGTGTGCCCACGGCTATTTTTTATTCCTGTCAATGACCCTGTAATCTTTGACATTGAATCAGAGTGTTTTGAACCTCTGATGAGTTTTAATCCTGTAAAAAAACAAGGGGGTATACTAGTATAATAGGGGGTATAATATAATAATAAACAAAAGCATATTATGCTGAAACCCTAACCATACTGTCATTCCGCCGAATCTCTATTCTCTGTTATGATTGTGAACATAAATATAATAGCCTGGGGTCCCCAGGTAACCCTAACCCTAATGAGAAATTATACCAACTTCCTTATTATACACGGTCATATCATGTGATCGAGACGGTTTTTCGGCAATATCTTGCTAGGGGAGCATTTTAACCCTTATGTGGGTGATTCGGAATCAGTGTCCGAAAATACATCGATTCAAGTTGGTTTCAACTGTCCCCTTTGGCTTTAGAAAAATCTCGAAGATCGAGTTTATAATGATTTAGCAAGTCGATAATAAAATGCATACTCAATTATTTTTCTAGAGCTTTTATTAATCTCTAAATCTCATTCAAGATGAAATATAATGTTATTATATCATATGTTTTAAATACTCACAATAAAATACACACAAAAAACACACAAACGTCCCCAAAACATGTACTTCAATTTATATTTCCCTAGTTGAAACTAACTTATTTTATGAAATTGATACATTCGAGAAGATATCGTGATATCGAGATAAGTCAATGATAAAATGATAGAATTGAGACGTTATCTATTAAAGTATTAGTATTGTCAATCGGATACGAGGCATTGATACATTTAGATCTCATTAAATCTGAATTGAATCAAGTGCATTATGCTATTTTCTAGTTACGTCGACACACAAGTAAAGGCTAAATAGTTTTCGGAGGCTTGCTAGAATTTTATTCTCTATGTTTCTCTATATTCTCTATATTATATAATAATAATGTTTTTTATATTTCGGTACAGACCAGCGCCCATTGGGCGTATTCAATCAATCACTTTTATATTGAAAAACTGTTATTTATAAAAGTAAGTTTAATAAAATCTTCTTTATCGTATTCGTAATCACTAAAAAAGTGTAAACGCAAGGCCAAGAGTGCAGTACTACCTCGGCATGTTAAATTCCATCTTTACGCCCGACTGTGGTATTGCATGAAGGGCAATGATGTATTGCATCTTTACAGTCGTCAATGAGGAAAGGAATGAAGCAACATATACCGGTAAAAAGAAATATAACAAAGCAAAGTAAGATAGTGAGTGTTCCAACTTCGTAGCGCACTGACGTCTGAATCTTAGCATGGCAGTTTCCGCAGGTCATGTTCATAGGGTATTTGCCGAAGTTTGCCGGCTGAGTAGCTATCACAACAACTGGGGCCTGGGCAGCCGGTGGGGCCTGGGCAGCCGGTGGGGCCTGACCCTGCGGTGGGTACTGGCCCTGCGGCGGGTACTGGCCCTGCGGTGGGTACTGGCCCTGCGGCGGGTACTGGCCCTGCGGCGGGTACTGGCCTTGTGGTGGTCCTGGGTTTGGTGCCGCTTGTACTGCCGCTGGCAAGTTGAAGTAAGGTGGTGGGGCTTCTCCTTTTTCTCCATATGGTGGCATCGGTGCTGCCATGATTTACTAAAAATGGAACGAGGGTAAGTCGTGAAATTTTACGAGCGTGCTTAATCACGGATGATGATTAATCACTCGACACTCGACTGCCACGTGACTTTTTCAACCCGTTCTCTAGCCCTACTCCTAGGGTTAGGATTTCAGCATATGCTTTTGTTAGTGGTTAGGGATTGGGTTAGGGTTAGGGTTAGGGTTGGGATTAGATAAGAGGGTTAGGACTGAGGGTTAGGGTTTCGAATAGTCGTTCAGGGCAAGCTAGAGAACGGGTTGAAAAAGTCAAATGACAGTCGAGTGTAGCGTGATTAATCATCATCATCCGAAATTTTATAGACGGATTATACATGAACATCCGTTACACAGTCGTAATACTAATATAATGATATAATGTCAGACTGAAGAAAAGAATTGATGATTAAATTGAGAAAAAATTAGAAAGAATTATGAAAATCGTACAAAATCTTCAAGTCCTGAAAAAACCGTGGCTCATATTGTTTTGTGTTTATATTACAATCCTTAAATTTAAAAAGGACATAACTTAGACATTGAAAATAAAGCATACAGATTTTGTATAATTAATCTCGGGAGTGAGAAAAAATGTTTACTTCAATACAGGCGATATATTACTATTCGCACCCAGTCTCACTAAATCGCTCGCCCAAATTAAAAAAAAATTCTTGTGAAAAGGCCCTGAGGGTATGACTGTAATCTTATAGGGTGTATTTTTGGACGCTGATTCCGAATCATCCCCCATAACGTAGCGGTAAAAATGCTTCCCTGGAGAGTTATGGGCATTTGTACTTAAAGTTAAAGTACAAATATGATGTTTAAGCTGTGAAAACGTCTGTAGAAGTTAAAATCAAAAGGTACTGCATGCAATGTTATTTTCTTCCAACCCAAAGATATAAAAATATGTAGTGACATTATTTTATTTATTTATTAATGGCGAGTGAGCGAGAGCCGGCTATAAATATAAAGGTACCAAAACGCGTGAAAATAAGTGCTTACTGCTTATTCATTATTTGGTTCTTTTTGTTTATAATGCACATTTTTGCTCCTTTATCAAAATGATCAAATGTTGGTAATTTATTGATACACGTTGTAAACCTCTTTTCGCGTGCAAAGCGCGCAGCGTCCTTTTTTTCTAAAATAGAAGGTATCTGGTAATGGTATACAATGTGTACTTAATTGTGTAGCAAGTAACTTAATCTTTAATTTTAGCAAGTAATTTAATCTTTAATTTTAGCAAGTAGCTTAATCTTTAATTTTAGCAAGTAACTTAATGGATGATGATTAATCACTCTACTTAATTGTGTAGCAAGTAACTTAATCTTTAATTTTAGCAAGTAACTTAATCTTTAATTTTAGCAAGTAACTTAATCTTTAATTTTAGCAAGTAACTTAATCTTTAATTTTAGCAAGTAACTTAATGGATGATGATTAATTACTCTACTGCACTCGACTGTCACGTGACTTCTTCAATCCGTTCTCTAGCTGCCCAGGAACGACTATTGAAAACCCTAACCCTCAGTCCTAACCCTCTTATCTAATCCCAACCCTAACCCTAACCCTAACCCAATCCCTAACCACTAACAAAAGCATATGCTGAAATCCTAACCCTAGGAGTAGGGCTAGAGAACGGGTTGAAAAAGTCAAATCTAATCTGATCCCAACCCTAACCCTGCCATCCTAACGGTAACCCAAGTATACCAAGTCTCAGACGGCAACATATGTTATACCCTTCCAAAATGGTTAAAGATTTAGGGGTAATGGTTTCAGTTGACTTATCCTGAAGTCCCCACGTTACCCTTATAGCCAAACGTGTTCGTAAAGTTGCTGCTTGGGTTCTGAGTGCGTTTAAAACGAGGAACAAAGTCACCATGCTGTCAGCATGGTAACTTTGCATTTCTGACCCTTCACAAATCTCTCATCAGAAGCCATCTCGCGTACTAGCTGTTGCCCCTTTATATATTATAGAAATGGAATATTTCCAAGAGTGCAGACGTCCAACAACTGGAAAGGGTTCAGCGCACGTCGGCACGTTCACAACGAGAATTATAGATGGCCTACAGCATCTAAACTACTGGCAGAGACTCAAGGCCTTAAATTTGATGTCGTTGCAACGGAGGAGAGAACGATATACCATCATCCACATGTGGAAAGTGCTGCACGGCAAGTGCCCAAACAGTGGCGTAACGTTGCCTGTTGGCGCCCCCCTGCCGAAAAAGCGCCCCCCTGTTGGCCCCCTCCCATTTTGGTGCCCCTCCCTAAAATTAAACAAACTAGGTGATTTTAGAGGATACGCCGGTGAAATCTCTAAAAAAGTGTCTATCTAGAGCAAAACGCGCAGTTTTGCTAGTACTTTAGTTAAGTTTTCGAAATTGTCCCACATTCAAACGACGGTTTGGCGCCCCCCTAAGAGTAAGACGGCGCCCCCCTGCACAGCGGGGTCAGCGGGGCCATTCGTTACGCCACTGTGCCCAAATGATGTCAACATCCAGTTCTGAGTTCACCGCAACACTCCGACATGGCCAAAAGGCAGTTATTCCCACTCTGAATAAATCTAGCAGTCAGCGCAACCAAACGCTCTACGACAATTCGTTTGCAATAATTGGACCTCGATTGTGCAATTACTTAATAATAATCCCAATTCCCACCAAACATGCATATTATCGAAGATCCCCTGCACTTTAAAGAAATGCTTACAAGGTTTGTGAAATCATTCCCGGATGAGCCTCTAGTGGCAGGATACAGCTGTCGAAATGCAAACTTGTTACTGCGACTGGAGGGGAATAAAGGTCATATCAATTAACATCAGCTAATTGGACAGTATATGAGTATTATATTTATACCGCCCTTAATAATAATCTTATCCCAAAATACTACTACTTAGTGTCGACCCGGAAGCAACCCGAAAAGATTTTTACAGCATGTGATTGATGTAATTAATCGAAACTCTTTACAATTCGTAAGCCGTGAATTTTGTTTAACTTACAGAATTGACTTATCTACAACTTTTGTGATGTAGCATCTATTTAGATCGCTATACTTAGTCTTACGTTTTTTACGCTATATTTCAATATCAAATATGAGACTTATTTAGAAACATGAACACTGCATATAAATATAATATAGTTATTTGGCAAACAATGCCTCATAAGTATATAAGACATAACAAGAATTGCGCCCGTTAGGCTATAATGTAGGCGGACGCTAAATTTCTTGCTACACGTTCATGTATATACCTCTCTTCACTCTTGACCTTGTGCACGCTTCGCACGCGAAAAGGGGTTGCAGCGTGTGTCAATAAATTTCCATCCACTGATTGATTGGGAACCAGCTTTGTTTACTGGTTAATGTTTACTCAAGAATTTATACATGCAATAATATACAATAATTATATACATAAATCTGCTGATATAAAACCTAAATAACTCTAAGAATATAGTTTATATACTCCACACGAAATTATGGACCTGGAAGTAAAATTAAATACTTCAGCTTAATACACAAATCAAAACAAAATTCTAGAAGACTGACAGTCAAATAACGGAGTAGTTCGCTGTTTATTAGTCTCATGATTGAAATACTGATATCTGGATAATATCCGGTTGGAAGAGACATGGACAAATGAAACAAGGAAGTTAGGAGTAAGGGCAAATTTTCGGCGTCAACGCCATCTTCAGGCTCAATAAATGTAATAGATTTGTAGTGTTGTAATTAGTTTAATATCTGGATATTATTCAGATAGATATCAAGACTGACAGTCTTGTAGTTGTGTTGAAAGACGAATAATAATATGATTTAGAAGCTTATCAAAAATTAAAATCTTAGCGAACTAAGAATCCATAAATTCAAGCAAAACTCTGTCTTATCACATTTCAAACAACAATTTTGTCCACACTACACACTTTGCCTCCTTTGATGAAGTGTCTCTTACTTTTTAGTCTTATCTGGCTCGTCGTTCGATCTCTTCATGAGTTCTCAAACAAGCTTTTGCTGTTCGGCACGTTCCTCTGGAGACCTATCTGGACCGATAAAGACTTCACCGAAAAGTTCCGAGCTCTAGTCAAAATCTGCTGCACGATTGTGGAGCTCGTCAAAGTCACCTTAACAGATCTATCAGCCACTTGTTTCTTATCCTTGGGTTTATTCAATACAATACAAAATAATACAATACAAACCAATTCTGCTAGCTTATATTTTTGGCTTTTCGCCAAGTTCCTACAACACTTGACCGACCTTGTCACATAACAGCTCACCTTTCTCTTCTTTAATACCAAATAACATCGGTCTCCTTCTGCCACAACATCCTTAATGACATTCTTCAAAATGTTTCTATCCAAATTCAACAAAGGACCTGCTGCTGAGGTTTTTGAATACTGTACCGCGGCGCTGTATGTCTTTAACTCTGATTTCACAGTATCCTCAACTGATGCTACAACCACAGATTCCAAGTCATCAAGCTGCTTGTCTTTGGCAGCTAGCAGCTCTTTCTGCAGACCAACTACTGTCCCCTGACTGTTAATTACATCGGAGTGCAATTTCTGATTATATTTCTCCAGCTGAACAATGTCCAACGACTGTCTATACATAACTTTTAACGCAGCGTTAAGACTCTGAGCCATGCGACTTCCCTGGTTACCCTGGTTACCCTGGAGATTTCTCTTTTATCACTGAATCTCTGAACTGCTTTTTAAGTCCTATTATAATTATTACATGCAATTTACAATCCTATATCACAGCTCATATCATTCCGAATCTTACTCAATTACAAAACTTAGCAAAATTAGTTCGTATATAATTATATAACATAATATATGCATTACGATTAATTTACAAAATGACTATAACTGACGACTGATTACTGATCACGTCTACTGGTTCAGGGAACTGTTGGCAGCTTTATTTTCAACAAACTAATCTAACTCGTCACACACCGATGGTTGACTTGTAGTTGTCACGTTATGTGAGTAGGCCCGACCAGAAGACACTGCAACTAAGCAACTTGCAGGTTGGCCGAATTTCACCTTTTAACAATTAAAATATTAATATAATATTAGTATTACACTTTATCTGATAGATCGGTAAATACATGCTACATTCAATATTTGATTTTGATATTATTTGAGGACGCACCATTCGTCCATTCGCTTCCGGCACTAAATTGCTTGCCCAACCAGGAAAGTCACGTAATAATGTTTGGGCGAGCGAATTAGTAAAAGCCTGCACCATTAGCAAAGTCTCAACTTTCATTTACATTATTAACTTATACCCGTCTTTGGATTTTGATTTAACGGGTGATACTGATTAACTGATACTCGTAAAATATTCGACCAGCGTCGATCGAGTCCAACTCGGCGCGCGTCTCGGCATAAACCTACAAGATTTTGATTCGTATGACCATATATGGAATAATAGCACGTGATGAAACCGCGCGCATATGTACGGACAATTTAGTTGCCTTCTGTTCTGTTTGCTTTTGTTGAGAGTTTGACTTGCGCAACGTTGAGCTTCGATCTTATACGTCATTTTAAGTCCACAATTACGGATTGATCTTATCTGTTAGTGTTATCGGTTTTCGAGGATGGCTACGTTCTTCGGACAAATGTTTTGTTATTCTCAAAATCTAGTTTTATGTTCTGTAAGTTAATTACTTAGTCAAAAAAAGACTCCATACTAATACTATTTCTGCTATTATGAGTAAATTTAAATACTAATAGCCAATAGGTTAGGCAGACTAGTCCTGTTTTTAATATTTTTACATTCTTCATTATTTGGGGTAATTTTTTGTTGTTTCCAAACCACGAATGACGAATTTAATCACTTTGTTTATTCTATGTTCATTCTGGCCAATTCATATCATTGTATAAAAGTAAACATTTTGATACAAAACACTGTAATATCTAGCAATAACTCAAAAAGGATACGAAAGGATACACAATTAGATGATGATAATACTTAAGTTAGTGGGTGAAATTATCTGCAAGTCATAATTGCTAGCCTAATATATTTGTACAAATGTCGCCTCAGTGGCGTTATTGGTTAATTGATAGCCTTGGCCCTTTAACCCGGAGGTAGCGAGTTCGAATCCCGGCTGGGTCAAAATTTCAAAAATCGTCAATTAGTTCAAGCATTAAAGGCTTGTGTATACATGTTTCAGAAAAATAGAACTAGTCACCCACCAACGTTATTACACAGTAATATAAGATCTAATGCCATATGATACGAGCAAAGATACTCAGTTTATCTAACAAACGTAACATGTGAGGTGTATCGTCTAATGTTCTACCCTCATATGGGAATATAAAAACAGAGCAGTAAACACGTGCTCTGGATAACATTAAGTAAAGGTGAGTCAGGTCAGCCTCCTCACTGTACCCCAACACTCTGTGCAGTACTATTACAGCTGGCCACTGAGCAGAATAACTAGCCCAACTGTTACACACTGCAATCTTACTATCAGTGTTAACACATCTCATATTAACACTGTCCTTAACTAGTGACAATACACTACTAGTGATATAATAAGTAACTATACCTATATCAGAATAATTTAATTCATGCATAGCAGTACACAATCTATTTAATTCATTATTAAATACACGCATAATACTAGTAACATTGTAATCATTAAACACATGTATTACAGGTAATGTACCGTGTATAAAGTGTCCTGGTAATTGTGTAGGTAAAACTAAATCTGAAATATCTGATTCAAGAGAACATAATTTAACGAATTGATCTCTAATTACAGATAAAATATTCGATAAATCAGACGTATTTCTCAAGTTCATAGATAAAGTAGTACTCTGATGAGGTGCTAATATATCAGTAAAAACATTAGCTACGATTGAAATGGCATCTGTGCTAAATAACTCCCAAGCCTGAACATAATCACATGCTATCCACACATTCTTATCTGCTGATAAATCTTTTAACTTGTTAATCAGTGCACTCCACATTTTAGCTGTGATAGTATAATGCATTACTGTCTGTATATCATCAACAAACAAATGATAACCACTCAGTACACTGAGTCTATCTGTTAAATATGTGGCTTTCTGGCCTACCTGTTATCTCCACAAGAATAACACTACACAAACTCTCTGTAATCAGATCAGCTAGTTGTGCGGGAGTGTGTTCATTATCACTAGTGCTTATCAGTTTATATTCTATCCTAGCTTTCTTTAATGCATCTTGATAATGCTGCGAATTGTTCCCTTCTCCAGTAAACTTAAATACAACTACTTTATTGTTATTATCAGATTGTATTAGTTGTATTATCTTGCCACACAATATGACAGTCTTTCCCGCCCCCGCGGGTCCGTTGATCCACAACAGATTCTCATTTGAATTAAACACATCATTTTGTTGTGTGGTTAAATTTAGAACCCCAACATATCTGCTTATGACATCAGGAGCTGTTACAACCCCTGGATTTCGAGAACGTTTTTTACCTTTTTTAGGCTCGAAAGTGATGCGACCCTCCTTAAGTTGTTTGTTGACATCCACAATACATTGTCCTAAACTACACTTGGATTTATGACACGTGTCTCTTTCTGTGGCCCATATGGCTAGTAAAATGTTCCTTGCTTTCTCATGAGAATCTTGATTGTATCCAGATATTGGTATTTCTCTACTCGATACTGTTTCTTCAGAAGCTCTTCTAATAGATGATATGGCCTGAGTTACATTTTCTGCCCACCAAGCATTAAAAGTAGATACATCTTCTTCAAATATAATAGTCGACAGTTCATCATCACTTAATTGAAACTGACTTTTAAACCGATTACTAAAATTAGGGTACGCTGTGAACTGAAGAATATTTGCGTCCTGGTCAATACATCTGATCAATTTCACTACCTTGTTTCTCTGTTCAATTGACTTCTTGTACGTACCAATCATTTCCTTCAACTTATCAGTCGTACACTCTCCATAAATATTGTCCATGTTCTTTACCTCGATAACAATGAAACTGTCCGCACAAATGATAAGAAAGTCACATTCCCCGTCCTGATCTCCTGCATTTTTACATTTAGAACATTCTTTTCGGATATGACTTTTACCTACACACGTACGAAATTGATGATGCGTGTATTTGAAGCTGTGGAGAACAATAAAGTTTCCATCTACCTTTTCCAAAGCCCTATACACCTTAACTTCAGTCTCGTAGTTTGCCTGCTGTCGTTCGTCATCTCTAAAGCTGGGACCAGGTTGACCTTCTTCTGGATATTTGTCTACGTAGGTCTGCTCTGGCGCTCTTGGAAGCATCGTGGGCAGCTTTGTAGGCTGGTTTTCTGCCGTTGCGCAATATTCTTCGAATATTTGTTTGCCATTTTCCAAATATTTATCCATTGCTGATCAGTTGATATATCTGAAATGAAAAGAGTATATAATGAGGGAGTGATGCGGATTCCAGGATTGATATAATATGTTCTTATCTTACAGCTCTCAACAGTATAACATCATTATAAAATTTCAACTAACAAATTATTTAAATTGGTCGTTTTTAGTGCCGGGTGGTGTAGTGGTATTTCACTCGCCTCCCAAGCGGAAGACCGGGGTTCAAACCCCGTCTGAGGCAGGCAGGCCAGGTCACCAAGCTGTGATTGGTACAGGATTTATCCTGGTAATTATGCTCGGAGGATATCAGTGACGCGATTCCCACTTCAGTGTAAGCTGCAGTGTAGCTGTAATAGTCTACCGCCATTCGGAATGAGTGTGAACTTGCTTACCAGGCAATCATGATTTCCGCTTGGTACTCATCAGGTCTCTAAGAAAGCCAACAGTGTGCTGATATGCATTGTCATATGTACTTCCTAGAAGCAGCACACGGCCCATTTCGGACTTGCACGAGTTATAATTATTTTTTAGTGCTTTTGAAAATGGTGGGTCCGAAGTTTGTTACAGTGACAGAATTTCATATTGTCCTATAAAGCATTAGTTAAATTGCTCGAATAGTTTATGTAACTATATACTCTGAGCAGTCTTTAAATAATAAGTACTGCCTAAAGTTTAGTTACTTTGTTGAAATTAGGAGGAGGTTTTTTTCTCCTATTATTTAATTATCAAGCAGTGTATTCCAAAAATGTATATAATCTGTATCATGTATGATGCTCCTGCAATTGCTATTAAGTTGTTTGTAATATTTTTTCCCCCAAAAATGTTGGCACTTTCATGTAGGTATTTCATTTTTATATCAAGAATTACCTAGAAGCGCTTTCTGATCTGAAATTTCTTAGTCCGGATAAACTATATTAATCATATTTATCATTGGCTCCACAATATTTCTATTGCCCAGTGTCCACCTTAACAATCATACAAATTACATAAACAAATATTTTAATTTGGTACCTGGTGTCGAGAGACTGTTAAAATTCGTAATTAATTGAGTTAGTGAGTTGATTTGATCCTCTCTTTGAATCCTGAAATACTCCATGTTATTTTTCTTATACTTTACTTCAATTAATCATGGCAGCTGTAATTTATGATAATATAAAATTAGCTGTAACGTTATCAAAGAGTATTGCTGGGAAATGGGGAGATTAGGTTTGGACTCTATACAGCCATAATGCAGCCACAATACGACCTTGATACGGCCACCATACGGTCTCTATTAAACAGCCTCTAAACAGTTACGATACAGCCACGATACGGCCTCTATACAGCCACGATACGGCCACGATACGGTCTCTATTAAACAGCCTCTATACAGTTACGATACAGCCACGATACGGCCTCTATACAGCCACGATACAGCCACAATACAGCCACTATACAGCCTTGATACGGCCACCATACGCTCTCTATTAAATTACCTCTATACAGCCACGATACAGCCACTATACGTCCTTGATACGGCCACCATACGGTCTCTATTGAATTACCTTTATACAGCCACGATACAGCCACTATACGGCCTTGATACAGCCACCATACGGTCTCTATTAAACAGCCTCTATACAGCCTCTATACAGCCACTATACGTCCTTGATACGGCCACCATACGGTCTCTATTAAACAGCCTCTATACAGCCTCTATACAGCCTCTATACAGCCACTATACGTCCTTGATACGGCCATCATACGGTCTCTATTAAACAGCCTCTATACAGCCTCTATACAGCCTCTATACAGCCACTATACGTCCTTGATACGGCCACCATACGGTCTCTATTAAATTACCTCTATACAGCCACGATACAGCCACTATACGTCCTTAATACGGCCACCATACGGTTTCTATTAAACAGCCTCTATACAGCCTCTATACAGCCACTATACGTCCTTGATACGGCCATCATACGGTCTCTATTAAACAGCCTCTATACAGCCTCTATACAGCCTCTATACAGCCACTATACGTCCTTGATACGGCCACCATACGGTCTCTATTAAATGACCTCTATACAGCCACTATACGTCCTTGATACGGCCACCATACGGTCTCTATTAAACAGCCTCTATACAGCCACTATACGTCCTTGATACGGCCACCATACGGTCTCTATTGAATTACCTTTATACAGCCACGATACAGCCACTATACGGCCTTGATACAGCCACCATACGGTCTCTATTAAACAGCCTCTATACAGCCTCTATACAGCCACTATACGTCCTTGATACGGCCACCATACGGTCTCTATTAAACAGCCTCTATACAGCCTCTATACAGCCTCTATACAGCCACTATACGTCCTTGATACGGCCACCATACGGTCTCTATTGAATTACCTTTATACAGCCACGATACAGCCACTATACGGCCTTGATACAGCCACCATACGGTCTCTATTAAACGGCCTCTATACAGCCACGGTACAACCACTATACGTCCTTGATACGGCCACCATACGGTCTCTATTAAATTACCTCTATACAGCCACGATACAGCCACTATACGTCCTTGATACGGCCAGCATACGGTCTCTATTAAATTACCTCTATACAGCCAGGATACAGCCACTATACGTCCTTGATACGGCCACCATACGGTCTCTATTAAATTACCTCTATACAGCCTCTATACAGCCACTATACGTCCTTAATACGGCCAGCATACGGTCTCTATTAAATTACCTTTATACAGCCACGATACAGCCACTATACGTCCTTGATACGGCCACCATACGGTCTCTATTAAACAGCCTCTATACAGCCACGGTACAACCACTATACATCCTTGATACGGCCACCATACGGTCTCTATTAAATTACCTCTATACAGCCTCTATACAGCCACTATACGTCCTTAATACGGCCAGCATACGGTCTCTATTAAATTACCTCTATACAGCCACGACACAGCCACTATACGTCCTTAATACGGCCAGCATACGGTCTCTATTAAATAACCTCTATACAGCCTCTATACAGCCACTATACGTCCTTGATACGGCCACCATACGGTCTCTATTAAATTACCTCTATACAGCCTCTATACAGCCACTATACGTCCTTAATACGGCCAGCATACGGTCTCTATTAAATTACCTTTATACAGCCACGATACAGCCACTATACGTCCTTGATACGGCCACCATACGGTCTCTATTAAACAGCCTCTATACAGCCACGGTACAACCACTATACATCCTTGATACGGCCACCATACTAGTGTAATATGTAGGCTGGTTGCAGCAGTTTTAGAGTAGTTTTAGCAGTTGTGTAGATTGTAATTTAGTGATTAATATGACCGTTAGTAATGAGTGTAGATTTAGGTAGTTAAGTGACCACGTGGTATCACTTGGCGCGTGTCGATAACGCATTTCTGGACACGTTAGGATTAGTTCTGGAAAAGCTCTTTAGGTGACGTGTTTAATCAAAGTGTTAACCGGTGATCTAGAACGCCCAACGTGGCCCGTCTTGCCACAGTTTAAGTTGTGATTGTTGATAATATCTTTATATTCATCATTCGAACGTTATTACTCGATTCAACTGTTTCCTTTGTTCAACTCTAGCTTAGGACCGAATTGTAGCATTTGAACCGTTTGATTCACAGTACCGCACTTAGTTGCATGTATGTAGTAGTCATATCAGAGTAATTGGCAATACAAGTTATCGTGATTGTCGTATTAACGTAGAGTTCAATACTTAGTTATTGTGAGTTATTGCAGTTGTCAGTCGCTACAACGACTGAGAGTATAGTGTGTAGTGTGAGAGGACTTGTGAGCAGGCACTGTATACCATTGGTACGCCCCGGGAGGACTAGTCTGGTGCCCACCTTATTTTACACTAATACGGTCTCTATTAAACGGCCTCTATACAGCCACGGTACAACCACTATACGTCCTTGATACGGCCACCATACGGTCTCTATTAAATTACCTCTATACAGCCACGATACAGCCACTATACGTCCTTGATACGGCCACCATACGGTCTCTATTAAATTACCTCTATACAGCCTCTATACAGCCACTATACGTCCTTGATACGGCCACCATTCGGTCTCTATTAAATTACCTCTATACAGCCACGATACAGCCACTATACGTCCTTGATACGGCCACCATACGGTCTCTATTTGTTGTACCCTGCTTTGGATCGCTTTACATTCCTTGGCGCCCTCTGTCCCTTAGAATTAGTTTGCATGCCACTTACCCTGATTTCACCCTCCTGCGGCGGTTTGTTTCATGTTTATTCACGGGTCACTGCGCTCCTGGTACGGTAGTTTGGAACAGGAGCGGCAGTGAGCCACGTTACGTTTGCCAGGTCTTTTGTTTACATTGGAAGTACTATTCTGTATTCTGTTTCCGGGAGTTGGACACTTCTTATTTTAGTTTCTAGAGAAAGGATCGTTTCTCTTGTACTAGCAGCAAACTAAATCTGGAGGCCTCGAGCGTTTGAACCATCGTACTTAACTTGTTTTAGTACTTTCAGTGCCCCGTTCAGTTTTGATTCCTTTTGTCAGATATTCGGATTGAGACCTGCTCACACTAATCGGATTGATTACTGTGTATTATAGTTGACTGCACGAATTGGATCAATTAGTGTATTGAGTTGTGATCGCCATGGAGGAGCACAACAGCTTGAACGAACTCAGACAGGAACTAAAGACAACAAACGGACGGATTGCTTCACTTGAACAACAGATATTGGAAGCGGAGGAGGATGGCAAGACGGAGATACAAGAACAACTGGATGCGGCAAACGAAGCCAAGTCGGACGTTGCTGAAAAGATTATGGAACTTTTGATGTCGGAAAGCCTGGTTTTGCATAAACCAATTATCAAATTGGCTAATTCCCCCACACCACAGCTACAGGCAATAGAACAAGAAGTCGCTCACTCAACAGAAATCAGGGATTCTGGTTTTACTTTACCCACAACAAGAATGCGAGTACAGCAGCCACGGGAGTACAAGAGGGGAGAAGATTTTTCGACCTTTAGTTACAGATACAAAATGTTTGTGGACAGTGCCAGGGTACCGAAAAGTATGCAAGCTAATTTGCTCCTGAATAACGTGGACGACAACACTCTACAGAAACTCGCTCCAATGGTAGAGAAACTCACGGACAGTGAGAAAGCAGACTTAAATATCCTGCTAGCCAAGTGCCATGAAGAACTCTACCCTCTATCGGAGGTAAGGGCGTTACGGCAGCAGCTCACAGCTGGCTGCACAAAACAAGGGGAGGATGAGGACGTTGACTCCTTTGCAAGTAGACTAAGAAACATTGCGAATAGGGCGGCCTATAACAATATAAATGAAAGATCAGAAGCCTGCTTAAATGCGTTTTTGCACGGGGTGAACGATGAGCTTTATGATAAAATCTTAGCCACCCCAGGAGCTGAAAACGATTTTGAAGTAGCCGTCTCGGCTGGACGGAAGTTCGAGAAAATGAAAAGGAGTAGAATACCTGGTACACACTTAGAAAACCAGATGACAGTACTGAAAATCAACGACGAAACAAGCAGTGAAAACAGAGGTAGCAATTTCAGAGACGAAAGGGCACGGGGATCACGTGACATCGAACGGAATGACAGAAACTCTCGCGACCAGAACACAGAGCAAGGAAACTCTCGTGACCAATACACAGAGCAAAGAAACTCTCGCAACTTTAACACAGGGAGGTACCAAAGGGGAACATATGGCAAAACGGATCGCTCCAGCAACCGATACCAAAACCGACCAGAAACCAGAACCTGTTTCAGATGCCACCGTGTCGGACATATCGCCAGGAACTGCAGTATCAACCGAGACAATTTAAACTAGATGGGGGCCGGACTGACTACCGGCCCGGGACAGTTAGAGGCATAGGCAGTGATGTAGTGGTGAGGGGTCATGCGGAAGGCAATGAAGTTAACTGCCTGGTGGACACAGGCAGCCATGTTACCCTCGTCAATGCATCACTATTGAGACAGCTGGGCATTGATAAAGTGGATCGGACCAAGTATGTGTTATCTTCTTTCACTGAGAATAAG